TAAGGGAAGTAATATTTTTCGGTCCAAGAATTTGATAATGAGTTTTCAGTGAATAAGGATGAATTAGGGTCTCCACAACACATTTTTACTTTTTAAAATGATATCTGCATGTATATATGTATGCATTTTACAGTTTTTTTTTTTTTTTTTTTGCCCACGTTAATTCTTATATGGAACTTCAAAAATTTTCTGTTTTTTGTATTTAAGCTTTCTGCATTCATTTAAGAAGTTGATCAAATTTTGAGTGAATTTGGACAACCGGAAGTAATACTTTGCATGAAGCCCATATACATTTTTAATGAAAAACTATATTCAGATATAATCCAAAACTTTCCAGTTTTACTATTTAAGACTGATGGGAACAGCATATTAGATTTGGGCTCAAATTGATAAATTTGAAGTGGTACTTTACTTGAAGCTGTGAACAGAGTTTCCTGAAAATTTATATTACAAGATAATCTGAAACTTCTCGGATTTGGTATTTAAAGTGTATGCTATTGAAAACAGTTTATTGCATTTATAAGCAATAAATGTAGTCTTGGAACTATGCCAAATGCAACGTGAATGAAGGTGAACTCTCATTATAAAGCAGTTAAATGTAGCATCCTCAATTCTCAATTTTGTGTTCATTTCATTCTTGTGTCAAATCACTCTGCTACTAAATGTTATCGCTATGCATTATTTTTAAAGAAATAAAAAATAAAAAAAAGTATGGCAAAATTTAACACTTTATTGGGAATTCTAAAGGTATGCTGCTTTTAAAGATTTTGTGATTTTGTTGTTAAATTTTATGGGAATTAATTGGGAAGAAAGGGGTGTTTAATAAATAAAGCTGAAAGGACAAATAAAAAGTCATCTTGTTAAGGAAGCTGAACTGTATCATGAACTGAGAAGAAGCTGGGAAAAAATGTATGGCAACTTGTAACACTCTATTAGGAACCCTAAAGATTGTCTTTATTTGTGAATCTGAAACACTAAATAACCAGATAATACACTACAATGGATGCGATATTTTCAAATGAAAGCATAAGAATGGATGTGTACGTGAGCATGTATAGTTATCATTTTCCATTATATGTGAATGAAAAATGAGTGGATTTTATTAACATTCAGGCATAAAATTTGTAAGCATACTAGAATTTATCTACAAACAATCAGTCAATGCCAGATTTTAAATAGGAACGAGCTTTAAGTGAAGTATCATTTTATACTTTACTTAAAGCTCATTGTTTTCTAATATGTGTAACTAGCAGGAGGTCTTGTGCTGGCCACGTCAGATATTTTAATATTATTACCAGACTAATTTTTTTTTTTTTTTTTTTTTTTTTTTTTTTGTATTAAAGTTCTGCCTGTCATTCTTCAGTAGTTTATACAGTACAAAGTCTGAGATTCAGAATTGTTGGGGCTTCGGCGATTCTTGATTTCGGAAATTGCCGGATTTTAGGTCATCAATGTAAATCTGGTAAGATGATATGTAGATATGGCAATATTGGGATTTTACGTATTACACTGGTGTGCAAAAATTAAGGACGAGATGGTTTTTTTCAATATAACTTTGTACAAAAGCTCTCCAAATCAACACATTTAATACCGTAGGATCCCCAATACGTAAGGACATGAGTAATGTAAGCAACACTTATTAAAAGAGAAATCAGAGGGATAAAGAGAAGCTTTATTGAAAAAGTAGCAGGGAGCGCAATGCGACTGAAGGCCGAAACATCCCTGTGATGGGTGTCCAGCAAGAAACATCCAGTCTTTAATAGTGGATATGATCTCCCCCTGACTGCTAGGCAGGTTTCACAGCGTCTGCCCATGCTGAGAATGAGGGTGTCAATGAGTTGTTGAGGCATTGCTGCCCATTCGTCTTGCAGTGCCAATCGAAGCTCCGGAATCATTACTGTTGGTAAGGTACGAGCTGCCAAGCGTCTGCCTAGAAACTCCCATACATGCTCGATGGAATTGAGATCCGGAGATCGTGCCGGCCAATCCATACGTTCAATATCCTCACTCTCTAAGAGCTGTTCGGCAGCTGCTGTGCGATGACATGGTGCATTCTCGTCCATGAAAAGGAACTGCGGACCCATAGCGCCTCTAAAAAGGCGCACATATGGAAGAAGAATCTCGTTACAATAACGGGTCCCGTTAACTGAACCTGCGTCGAATTTGTGAAGGTCTGTACGACTACCAAGCATGATGCCTCCCCAAACGAGAACACCTCCACCTCTATACCTGTCTCTTTCAATGATGTTCAAGGGATGAGTTCGGCTTCCCCGCTCTCTCTCCAGATGAGTATGCGATGAAAATCGCTACTCTGACTGAATCTGCTCTCATCTGTAAAGAGTACTCATCCGTATTCATTGTCTCGAATTCTGATGTTCCTGGCACCACAGAGAACGCCTTCTCCGATGGGCAGGCGTTAGAGGTACACACCGTACAGGGCTTCGTGCAAACAGACCACCACCGTGCAGTCTTCTGGCTACGGTGAAATGCGATATCGGTCATCCAGTCGCGCGTGTCTAGCGATTTCTCCCGCTGTCTGCCGCCTGTTTCTTCTGGCCTGTAAGGCAATATACCGGTCATCTGCGGGTGTGGTTCCTCGTTGACGACCACTACTAAACCCCCGGATAGCTGTTCCTGTAGTTTGAAATTGTCTCCAAAGTCGTGAAACGATGCTGTGAGCAATTCCGAACTCTGCAGCCATACTTGTCACACTGCGGCCTTCCTCCAACTTCCCAATGATTCGACCTCGGGTAAAAGCATCCAGATGTCGTCTAAAAGATTGATTATTCACCATTTCTCGCTGAGGTAGTAACTCGTTGTGATTTTAACTGCTATACGGCGTGCAATCTCTTTGCCAGAAATACTGATCTTACACCGACAACATGCTTTATGGTACTCGGACACTCCCCCATTACGTCTACCTGCATATCTGCGCATGTGCTACCGTACATCACTTTACTTAATATCCTGATTGGTCTCTCTGTCCGCTCTGCCTCTTCGTTCAGCTGATATGCTAATTTTTGGACTTCGTCCTTAATTTTTGCACACCAGTTTATTTAGGGCAGATTGAAAAGTGCTAACCCCTCTCCCAACAGGACCAGAGCAATGCAACTGGTGCAGCTGCAACCATTTGTCAGAATTTAGGATCAGCAAAAATTTTAGAATTTAGAGGAGCTTCCAGCAACAGAAATTAGAGATAGGGGTATTTTAAGAGCATTGTGCAGTAGAATGTAGGGGCAGAGAAATTTTTAGAATTTGGCAAAGTTACCTGGTAGCAGAATTTAGATACTACAGAGTTAAAATGTGTAGCAACACCAGCACAGCCCCTCTGTCCCAACAACCTCTGAAGTGCGATCCTGGCCAAGATCAGTACAACGTCAGTCATTGCATAGTTATCGGCTACGATACGACCCCCTAACAGCAGGTGTTTAAAAAGTGACATGCAGGAATCTCAATCCCAGTTAATCTGAAAGAAAATTGACCTATGAGCAGCAGAGAAGTTAAGTCACTGAGAACTGATAATTCGACCTGTTGTGAGTTCGATTCCAGGCAAACGGTCTGGCTGCATAGACATTTTTGTGTTTTTGCTATGTTTAATGTGGATACGAGCCAGTTCCTCTTAGAGAGTCCTTCACAAATACACCCCTTCCCTTAGGCAGATTGTCCTAGCATGCTTTGCTGTGTAATAAATAAACTGGAGAAAAACCACATGTACATCACACTTGCCTCCTCTTGTTATAGTCTCCGTTCCTGTAGTTCATGAGGGTCGGATATTGGATGTCTGGATTTCGTACTTCGTATTTACTGTATCGCCTTTTTCCCTCTCATCTGATTTTTTTAGTATCACTGTTTAACAAAGCAACTGAATGTTGGAAATGCAGATTTCGGTGACCCTGTTATTACCAATCTCACTTGACTGACAGTCTTCAGCATAAACTTATGACATTTAATCATGGCAAGGAGTCACATGTGCTTGTTGTTGGCTTGAGCTTTGGCAACCATATAGGTGACAGACTGACTGAAGGTGAGTTCCCCCAATTTTGAGGAAGAGCATCTTGGCAGACAGGTCCAAGGATCTCCCACCCCTCTTTCCTTACTGCCAACAACCCGAGAGGAATTTCAGCTAACCACATATTTAGAGAGGCCACATGCCACGCAGACACTCTCCATTTACAAACAGCCATGCCTTCTATCAGACATTTTAATATTATTACCAGACTGATCTTTCTTCTATTAAAGTTCCGGCTGTCATGCTTCAGTAGTTTATACAGTACAAAGTCCGAGATCGGGACTTCTCGGACTTCGCCGATTCTGGGTTTTGGAAATTTCTGGATTTTAGGTCATCAGTGTAAATCTGATAAGATGATATGTAAATATTATATGGGATTCAAAACAGAGCCCTTCAATACGGCAGTCTGAGTCACTAACCAACAGCCTAGCGAGTGGCTGAAATCACTTATTCCTGTGAATGACTGTTCTCTTTTTAAATTCTGTTTCTTAAGTGATGAACATCTAACTTAAAGAGCTTTTTTTTTTTTTTTTTTTTTTTTTATGTACATAATTCAAAAATGTGTTGAATAACAAAATGAAATTTTATGTAATATAATTTACTATGCCTATATCCTTGCAAAATAACAAAATTAATTGCCTTTTTATAATTGAACTGTGTAGATGGTACAAAGTGTAGGTCATTTTGTGCAGTTTTTTAATTACACCAGCTGTTTTGTGAAACAGTGTATAAAAATATTTTGCATACGCATATCTAAGCTACAGAATGGCATTGTTCCCAAAGGTTATTCAAAGTATCCGTTTTGAAGAAAGATTTATAAAATACTTTATTTTTACCCAAATAATTTACATACTGAAATTTTCCATTGAACTAGTGTGCTACTAAAATTTTTATTAGTAAACACTTCTTTCTATTAACATGATATTTTGATTAATGAATTTTTAATTTTAGTTATTGATAGAAAGCTTATATAACATTTTCCTTATATTAGGCTCAGATGACTCTGCTGTTGCTGCACCCGAATCCAATATTGATTTCCGTTTATTAAAGAATATGTCTTGGCAGCCAAGTATTGGTCTAGGGTCTTGTGAAGAAGGAATTGCATTGCCTACAAAACCTTCTGAATCTGGAAATAAGCAAGGATATGGGCTGTGTGTGAAAGATAATGAAGTAACACCATTAACTAGTTCTGTGTCTTTATTTTCTTGGCGAAATATTTGTCAGTCACCACCACCTCCTCCACCATCTCCACAGCCCTTTTGTGATAAGAGTTGGAATCCTTTATAGCATTAAATATAGATATTTGTTACAACTGTTATTTAATTTTATAGAGTCCTTCAAGCGGTACTTTTAAAAGTTGGTCATTATTGTTTACATTGTTATAATTTCCATTTCATTGTATTGTAGTATATCTGAATTATAATAAGTTATATAACTATAATATAAACCGTTTTGTTTGTTTTAAAGTGTGCAAAATATCTGTATTCTTTATTTTGTCATATTGCCCGGGCATAATTCATAAGAGTTTGGGGTATTTTATAGCTAAAAATTATTTCTGCTAATAGCTATTAGATTTTTAAATGGATGGAAATGAAAAAAATTTAAGAAATGTGTTATATCTGTACTTTTTTGTTTGAGCTATTGTAAGTTGATTTTGAAAACTTGAATAAAGATGTATTTGTTTCTACTTTTGCTTTCATTTTTTCAAGTATTCTATTTTGTAAAATAGGAAAAATATATAGTTTTACACTTTTGTTTTATAAGATTGGTATCTTATTTGTAATTATTTATTAAGGTTGTGGATGAAGATAAATGTGTCTACAAGACATTTTATTAGAATGTGGTCAAGTTTTGGAGTTTTAGAAGTTATTTTTATATAAATGGATTTGTTTTTATGTCTTTTAATGAGTATGCTATGAAACAAAATTTAGAAATATGAAAAATTTAAGTAACATTATCATGAATTATACTTACTTGATTTTTAAAAAATTGTAGGCTCATGCATATCAAAACTAGAGTCTTAAGAATTTTAGATAAGTTTTTGTTTTCTCCCTAACTTTTTCCCTTACTCCTAACTACTCAAAAATTCACCAGGAGACATAACATTTATGTAATAGTACTAAGTTGTATGTTACAAAATAAGTGTTGTAGTGCAGTAAAGTGTTGCTGTGACTTGTGGGAGACAATTGAAATTAAATAGCTTTTTTTCCACCACATAATAAACTGAAAACTTGTCAAAGGCGTAAAAATCATTTTCACAAAGGGATGCTGTTGAAGACGAAACTTTTAAAATGTCTATATTGATGAATGGGAATCAGTATTATACTTATTCAGTATGTAGTAATTTATGTATTAACATGTAAATAAAATGATAAAGTATAAATAGGGAAAAATGTAAAACTCACCAGTTTTGGGCTTTTTTTAGTATTATAAAATGTATTAATGTTTATAAAGGATTTGCATTGAAGATACACATGTTATCTGAGGCCTAAGATGCAGTCAAACATCTAGAAATAACATTTAGACCGCATTAGAATTAAAATTATTTGAATGTGTCTACCCTTCTATTTTGAATATTAAATATATAACATCTTCATAAAAGGAGGACAATGCTTTAACTCTCAGAAGTTGTTTCTCGATAGCTATTATGGTAAGTGAATCTCACTTGTGATTGCATTACTCTAAGTATTAATTCTTCTCAGAGCTGTAAATGATTGTTGCTGATGCACCTGAAGCTTGTATTGATACAGCAAATTAACATGACTTGTAGATTTAGCTCATAATGTTATGAATATTGTTGGTATTCATATAAGGCACTAGTTCATGTATAGGTTTATTTTCAAACTCGGCAGAAGAATATAAAGTAATCAGCTCATTCTTATGCTTTAAAAATCAGTTTGCAATATTGACTGGCAATCAATTTATTTAGCAGTATTTCCGAAAAATTAGAATTACTCTGTGACGTAAGCACATGTTGAAGTTTTTCTCTTTCTTTTTTACAGTAAGCAATATCAAGGATTTTCTTTTTAAAATTTCAAAACATATATCTGACTGACAAAATATTATTAAAAATATGTATAATAAAGAACAGTTTTTACATTCACTTAAAAGTTTAGTGAACACAGTGAGCTTGGGATACATGCAAAAGATCCTAGTCATTGCAATTCTCTATTTAATATCTTCAAAAAATGTAGCCAATTCTTTTTCATTCCATGCATTATGTTAACAGTTCTTGAACAACGTTTCTATTATTTAGGTGCAGCTTTTAAGTATTTTTTTCCCCATTAATTGTTTAAGAGAATGAGCTCTTTTTACAGATGTTGAAAAAAAGCATATAATATTTTTAAAAACAGGCGGTACGCTCTTATGGCACATGCACATTGTTGCAAAACTAAATTTAAAACATGGCTGTAACAATGTGTGAAGGTGGTTTTTTTACATGATCATTTCTGTATTCCAGTTACTTGCCCTGCCATAACTGCTGCTCTATTGTAGATCTGTCCAATAACTTTTGCACCCATACGACTTTAGTAGAACAGTTGGCCCTTAGTCAGAGAAACCTATAAGTCTTGGGGGGGGCTTTACTTTTATCATTTAGGGGTTTTCATCTGGAGAGAACCCGTTGGCGCCGTCACATTTTTACTCGCCAAGCTTGCGGTTCATCGACGATGAGCCGAGCTGTAAACGTGATTTTTAGTGCATGTAAATTCAAGGTAGCTGATAAAACAATATATTAAGCATATGGTATTAAAAATTTACAGATAATAAGCATGTAGATGTAAAATTAACCGCTTAAACGTGATATATGAAAATTAATTTGTATTAAATTCAAGTTAGCACAGAAAAGAATATATTATTAAGCATAAGACAATATATAAGCATTTATAATGGAAATAAAAATTCATTTAAAAAATATAAATTAGTATTAATATACTGAAATTAACCGGTTAAACGTGATATACAAAAAAAATTTGTCTTAATTCCTGTTAAAACAGAAAACAATATATTCCTTACACCAGCAGTGGTTTGCTAATTTTGATGACCATCGTGATGCATCAAACTATTCTGTCATCTTAGATAATCAATATTTTTTCATTTCAATTAAATCATCTATTTATGTCACACCTGCCATCCGCTGAAAGGTTATTGTTAGAAAAGCATTAACAATATATTATCTTGTTAAAATTTTACGCCATAAAAAATGATTTATTCTCAGAATTTTAGATGACAATAACCAATAATAAAAATAAAAGCATTACTTAATTATTTAAAATGCACATGCACATTTTTTGTGGTCTACGAAAACAAATTATTTTAGATGTTGGAAACCTCGTGGTTCTTAGAGCTGTTAATAATTAAGAACACAACGTGAACAGCCGTGTTACAAATTAGCATTTACCCCTCCTTTGATCCCGAACTGAGAACTGGCATTTATCTACGAAAATATTTCTATCTATTCGTTGTTAAAAAATTCTGAAAAAATAATAATAAATAAGAGAAAAATAATATAAATCTGCAAATGCGAACAACGACAGTGATAATTATCCGATGGGTTACCAGGTTTGAACTATTATCACTAAAGTTGGCGATGTTTACATTTACTGGGTTCTCTGCGGAAGTGCTTCCTCATTTAGACATCTGAGCCATGTTTATCATTGTGATTTACTGATTGCGTCTTGTTTTGTCTAGAACGATTACAACAAATTGAGAATTGGCTGTTTCTTTTTTTATAGTATCCATGAGAATTTTCGAGAGGCAGTTTAGGTCATTCTGAATAGTAGAGGATGTCCCATGGAAACCTATTCTTTCCTTCACATGGTTATTAAGCATAGCCTCATTTAAGTTGGGAGGATCTAGCAATTCTACGTAATTTTCTTTATGTGTTGAATCATTATAACATCTAAATGGCAGCTATTGTTTTGCCAAGAACCATATACAATTTATCAGATGTTTTAAAATTTTCATGTACGGCCGCGTTATGAAGCTTTATAAATATATGCTTCCATTGATTTAACTGGAGATTTATTTTTGATTGGCCAAAGGTTGAAAGTTGTAAATGTACTTTAATGACTAAGATATTTTTCATGTCTTAAAATAGTATGGATTTCTTATACTGAGATATGTCTTAAAAATTATCCTTATGTTTAGAACATAGATTGTTAAAGAACGGCAAGGTGTGTCTTTCTTTTTATTATTTAATTTTTTTCGGAAAGAAAGGGTGAAAGCTAAATGGTTTTTTAATTAAATCTTGTATTACACCCTGTGTGTCATTTCTGCTAGTGCTTGAAATGGTGTCAGAAAACTAACTCTTATAACTTACGAACCTATAGTCCTCCAATCTGTGTTTCTTCGAAGAGTGTAACATCAGAATTATTGCAGAATGTACAACTAAGGGATGATGAGAGGAGTGCTGCAGTACGTATCATTCAAAAATTTCAAAATGTTTTCTCAAGCACATCTTCTGATGTTAGGCGAACCAGTTTGACACAACATAGAACTGATACAGGCGATCATCCACCAATGAAGCAAAACCCAAAACGTCTACTGATTGCTAAACAGAGGAGGTAGGAAAACTTCTAAAGAACTTACAACAAAGCGACTTTATCAATTCTTCAGAAGGTCCTTGGGCCTCTCTTAATGTCCTGATGAGAAAGAAAGAAGATTCAACTAGATTTTGAGTTGACTATTACCTGTTGAACGACATCACGAAGAAAGTTAGCTACCCTCATCCGAGTATTGATGACATTCTGGATACTGTTTATGGAAGCGAGTTAGTTTCGACGATTGATTTAAAGAGTGGCAAGTAGAGATACACCTTGATGACCGAGAGAAGACTGCTCTTCGGTCATGACCTTCGTCTGCTTTGTGATTTGTTATTTGGTCGCCCTCCGGATGAGTCTTCATCGCCTGAGGAGTGCATTCAAGATGTCCAGCAGCGGTCTAAAGTGATTCACAATGATGAAAATTGATGTGATGAAAATGTGTCCAGTATTTCTGTTAAAAATGGTATGGGTTTGAGCATTGTGCAAACATGGTTGATATTTTTACAAATCCTGTGATTCTGATATGTTTTAAATATGCACCTGTCATATCCATGGAAGAAGATTATTTTCCTGCTTTCACAGATACAAGAGAAACTTCTTGACAGTGCAGAATCTGAAGTGTGCTATCAGAAGTGAACTATGTGTGGCATGCCAAGATTCCTCTCTTAAGTGTCAAGGTAGGGAATCCTTTTCTTTCCCTCTTTGTTTAGGTAGTTCTTGATCTTGGTGTTTATTATTCCTTAGCATATTTTCTGTGGAATTCATGGAAAATACTAATATTTTCATATGTAAAAATATGTTATTATGTGCTTTTTATCGATATTCAGAAAACTTTATCTAATAATTAGTGTTAGTTTTAGTGCAAAATGTGGATTAATAAATTCACAACTTAATAACACAATTAATGTATTCATTTTCCCCCAAACTATATTTTAATGCCATTTTCTTTTATCTACTTACGTATCACTTTCAGCATTTTAATTTGCCACAACTGCCTGTCTTTATTCATAACATACTTAACAATCCCATGGATTTTTAACAGTATTCAAATTACTTAGAATATCATTGTAAATAAAAATAGAAAATTATACACTTTGTTACTTTTTAAACAGTTTGAAGTCATTTGAATTAAAATTTCTCAGTC